CCTGTACAGGATTGCCTTTAGACAGCTCGGGGGTCAGATAACACCATACCCATCAACAGTTCTCCAATGAAAATAGGGACATCTTAATGAAAAGTGGGACATTCAAGGACCAATTCAGAAGCCGAGATGGCTTCTGTAAATCAGGGACATCCCTGGAAAATAGGGACACTTGGAGGGTTTGGTATTCCATAGAATCATAGAATCATAGAATCATAGAGTTGGAAGAGACCACAAGGGCCATCGAGTCCAACCCCCTGCCAAGCAGGAAACACCATCAGAGCACTCCTGACATATGGCTGTCAAGCCTCTGCTTAAAGACCTCCAAAGAAGGAGACTCCACCACACTCCTTGGCAGCAAATTCCACTGTCGAACAGCTCTTACTGTCAGGAAGTTCTTCCTAATGTTTAGGTGGAATCTTCTTTCTTGTAGTTTGGATCCATTGCTCCGTGTCCGCTTCTCTGGAGCAGCAGAAAACAACCTTTCTCCCTCCTCTATGTGACATCCTTTTATACACATTCAGCAAGAGTAGGGACGGGGGAGAAATTTGATTCAGTCCATATTGAAAGGTGAACCTCACCAATTCACACTTCCCCAAACAATACATGAACACAGGCATCCTTCGAAATCCAGAAAGAAAGAAAGAAAGAAAGAAAGAAAGGCAGGCAAGAGAAGTTTTCAGCATAGCAAATTTCCCCATTTGATTGGGGTTGGAGGATAGTGATACTGCACAGCTTGAATCCTTCCCTTAAACTCCTCAGATCACCAGTTCAAGGCCTCCTGTTGTCTCAGGTCTTCATAGCAAATTAGCTGGAACAGGGACAGCCAACATGGTTCCATCAAAAAAAGTTGGAGCACAACTCTCATCATTCCTACTTATTGGCCATACTGGCTGGCTACCATGTGGGTTAGCCCTATGCCAGAGGATGATTCATTATCTTGACTAGCTTCTGTGGAGAAAGTCATCAAAGTTAAGCATGCATTCCTTTAAGGCAAGAGTGGGGGCCATCAGGTCAGGGAGATGAATGAAGCCTTCTAGATCTCACTATTTGCCCACAAGGCCTCTTCTCATGCCACCCCTCAACACAGGCCACACACTTCACTAGCCCTGTGTGGCCCCTGTTTTTGCCTGGCTGGACCGTGCTCTTGGTGTCTGATAATGCTCCTTGCTTAGAGGAGATGGAGGGTCAGAGAGGGGTGCGCGAATCTGCAAAAGTGAGCCTACTATCCCAAGGTGAAACTTAGATTCATGGGTCCACTTACTTCTGTCTCCAGCCACACCCACCACTGGCATATGGCACCCAGAAAATTGCCCAAGAAGGGAATGTGGCCATTGAGGTGAAAAAAAGATCCCCACCTCGGCCTTAAGGCTTTGCTGGCCGCTGAATCTTAACCCAGTGTTGTGAAATGTGCAATATGTTTTGTTTTGTAGAAGCGCTTCTAACTGGGGCAGAGTGGGCTATGCTCTGTAATATTTCTGTCACATCACAAATAATTCATCTGAAGGGGCCATCCAGGCATCCCCATGATCTCATGACTATATCAATTATGAAAGCAACAATTAAAGTGCTGAGAAGAAACAAACCGACATCAACGTGCGTTTACAGGGACTAGCACTTCCAAAAGTAGCAAAAGGGACCGGTTATATGATGCCAAGGTGAAACTGAAATTTAGACAGCAAAGGCATGCAGGGACCTTTCACAAATGTCCTTAATCCTCAGAAATGCCTGGGCACATCATTTTTCAATGCAAATTTAATGCTGCTGTTTCCTTTATGAACCATTCAGCTGAAGAATTTGCCAGTCACCTTACAGTGGTGCCTCGCAAGACGAAATTAATCCGTTCCGCGAGAGTCTTCGTCTAGCGGTTTTTTCGTCTTGCGAAGCAAGCCCATTGACGGATTAGCGCTATTAGCGCTATTAGCGGTTTAGCGGCTATTAAAGGCTTAAAGGCTTAGGGGATTAGCTGCTAAAAGGCTATTAAAGGCTATTAAAGGCTTAGCAGATTAGATAAAGGGGGAGCGAAAAAAATCTCAAGACTCGCAAGATATTTTCGTCTTGCGAAGCAAGCCCATAGGGGAATTCGTCCTGCGAAGCAACTTCAAAACGGAAAACCCTTTCGTCTAGCGGTTTTTCCGTCTTGCGAGGCATTCGTCTTGTGGGGCACCACTGTATTCATAGGTCTGTACCCAATGTTAGTCTTACTTGGAGAAGACCTACCGAAATTAAGACATTAGGAAATGTAAGAAGGCACGCAATTCCATCCCATCCTGTCTTTGTCACAATCAACACTGTTTCCATTCTGCCACTGTTCGGTTTCCACCAAATACTTTGTTATTTGTTTCACTATGCGCTAGTTGGTGCAATTATTTACATAAGATTCTAATACAGTGGTACTTCGGTTTAAGAACAGCCCTGTTTACGAACTATTCGGTTTACGAACTCCACAAAACTGGAAGTAGTGTCCCGGTTTGTGAACTTTACCTTGGTCTAAGAAAGGAATCCGAATGGTGGAAGGGCACCGGTGGCAGGAGGCCTCATTAGGAAAAGCGCACCTCAGTTTAAGAATGGTTTCGGTTTAAGAACGGACTTCCAGAATGGATTAAGTTCGTAAAACGAGGTACCACTGTATATTAACGATGTACCGTAATTATTTCTCTACCACACATTTCTATGTAAAGGAAACACCATTGAAATGGAGCTGCTCCATCAATTGTGGATCATCTGCAAACTGAAAACAACAACAGCAAATACTGACAAGAATTGATTGGCTTGATTTTTGTTCTGGGCATGAGATAGCTAAACCCAAATTAGCAATTTCCACTTTCATCAGAATTTTTTGACATTACTGTTTTCTGACTTCTGTGCATTAACTTCAGTGGGTTTTCTCTTCTTAAGGTGACTTTCTAGGATATCATCCTGTCCCGTCCCCCGTGCTTGATCTGTGAATTAATGTTATGATTGGACATTTTAAAAGAATCATCTAGGGTAGTCTCACAAGACAAATGAGCCAGCCTCAGAATTTGTGGGCCATCTTCCTGCATCTAGCCTGGTAGCTCATGGAAGGCCTGTGCAAGTCTTTCAATTAAGCTCCCCTCCCCCCGAAAAAAATGTTATATGCCAGCTACACGAATCTGGAGGTTTCTACAAATGCATAGAATCATGCAATCAAAGAATTGGAAGAGTTGGAAGGGACCCTGAGGTTCATATAGTCCAACCCACATTTTTCCATTCAGGCAAGCAGGAGGCACTATCAGAGATCAAGGATATTTTCTGAAAAAGCACAGTGTGTGTGTGGATCAGGACCAGAAAGGGGCATGACTGGGGAAGACCCCCAAGGATAAAATGGAAGGCTGCAACTGGGCTTTGGGGCTGTGGTTCCCCATCCCTTCACTAGATGATCCCTCCAGGTCTATGAAGCCTATGGAAAATTGCTTACCTCTCCATCTCCTTCAGTTCATAGTGCCTGCCCCCTTTGAGTTACTGCACTCATATTTAAATAGAGTATTTCATTTTGATTTGAAAGTGTCATTATGATTCTCTCTGTTTTCTTTTTTTGGATGCTACTTCTCAATAGTTCTCTCCTATTGCTCACAACATGGTGATGGATATATTATTGAGTTGGAAGCTGAGGGCTGAGGTCAAAATAAGGCTTTGACATTGTGGACAAAGAGATGTCCCAGTTCACCATGAATCGGCAGACATTGTTCCCTGAAATGCTCTCATATTGCCAGCAGCGCCTTCCTTTATTTGCATTGAAAGTGGTGCAGAGGAGAGAGAGAGAAAGAGCTTGATGAAAATGAAATTGGGTTAATTTGTGCAGATCAAGTTGCCTTGGATGGGAGGACGTATTTTGAAGAATTCAAGTGAAAGCCTTTTGTGCTGGTCATTTCACATTTCCTTTAAAAATGAGTGCCATTTTCTCGAAGAAAAAAAAGAGAGAGAGAGCGAGAGAGCGCAGAATCTCTCTCTCATTTAACGATGCTGAATCATTGTGATGGCTGGCGAGAGAGCATCTAATTGCTTCTGCATGTGAATAAAATCAAAATGAATGAGATTTTATTCACTAGAACTAGGAGGAAAAGGGGTAGAAAGAAGACTCCATCAATCCTGACTTCTTGCAGGCTTCTCAGAGCCATCTGGTTGGCCATTGTGAGAACAGGATGCTGGACTATATAAGCCTTTGGTCAGATCCAGCAGGGATCAAAGGATGCTGCCTTATTCGAAGTCAGACCATGGGTCCATCTAGCTCCATATGCCCTACACTGACTGGCAGCAGCTCTCCAGGATTTCAGACAGGGTCCCAACACTAACTGGAGATGCCAAGGGTTGAACCTGGAACTTCCTGCATGCAAAGCAGGTGTAGAACATCAGGGGCTGGTGCCTAATGGAAAGGCGCCCCAGAGACATCTACCTCCACCCCAGATATAGTGGGCAACACTAAAGATTAACTGAATTTAAGGAAAGAACATGCCCCCCCCTTTTTAGGACACAGTTTTCATGAGGGGCCTGATTAGAAGTGGAATCACATGCAGAGGGGTGAGATTAATACTTCCTGCTTGACAAGATCCCAAGGAAAATTGCCCACTACCAAGAAGCTTTGATTAGTACTGGAAGCAAAGTGTCTCTTGGCACCAATGGGAATTTCTCTCTGGGAGCTAATGGCAGCTTGGGAGCAGTGAGGCAATTTCCATCAGGGCTGTGGCAGGAAAAGATATAATCAGTGCACTGTGGTTCCACTCTTGCTTTCCATCTCTGCTGGTTATACATATCAGTCTTTCATGAAGTTTCCACCATGCCTTGACTCAGTTTTATGTCATTCTCTCATACTATAATTTGCTGCTAGAGATGGAGAACAATACAGGTACGTTTGACTAAATCTTCTAAGGCCAAAGATGCAACCTCATGTCCAGTGTCCAGGGCAGTTCTTCCCTACAGAATTGTAGAGTTGGAAGGGACCATGGGGAACATCTAGCCTGATCCACTGCATGGCAGAATCTTTTTCTCTAACAAGGGGCTCAAACCGATGACCCAGAGATTAAGGGTCTCATCCTCTACCAACTGAGCTACCAAAAGGAAGAAGCAGCTGCACAAATATAAGATGGGGGACACCTGGATTGCTAATAGTGCACGTGAAAAGGATCTAGGGGTCTTGGTGGACCACAAGCTCAAATGAGCCAGCAGTGTGATGCAGCAGCACAAAAAGCAAATGCTATTCTTCTTGTTGTTGTTTAGTCGTTTACTCGTGTCCGACACTTCGTGACCCCATGGACCAGAGCACACCAGGCACTCCTGTCTTCCACTGCCTCTCGCAGTTTGGTCAGACTCATGTTTGTAGCTTTGAGAACACTGTCCAACCATCTCGTCCTCTGTCGTCCCCTTCTCCTTGTGCCCTCAATCTTTCCCAACATCAGGGTCTTTTTCCAGGGAGTCTTCTCTTCTCATGAGGTGGCCAAAGTACTGGAGCCTCAGCTTCACGATCTGTCCTTCCAGTGAGCACTCAGGGCTAATTTCCTTAAGAATGGATGCGTTTGATCTTCTTGCAGTCCATGGGACTCTCAAGAGTCTCCTCCAGCACCATAATTCAAAAGCATCAATTCTTCGGTGATCAGCCTTCTTTATGGTCCAGCTCTCACTTCCATACATCACTACTGGGAAAACCATAGCTTTAACTATACGGACCTTTGTTGGCAGGGTGATGTCTCTGCCTTTTAAGATGCTGTCTAGGTTTGCCATTGCCTTTCTCCCAAGGAGCAGGCGTCTTTTAATTTCGTGACTGCTGTCACCATCTGCAGTGATCATGGAGCCCAAGAAAGTAAAATCTCTCACTGCCTCCATTTCTTCCCCTTCTATTTGCCAGGAGGTGATGGGCCCAGTGGCCATGATCTTTGTTTTTTTGATGTTGAGCTTCAGACCATATTTTGCGCTCTCCTCTTCCACCCTCATTAAAAGGTTCTTTAATTCCTCCTCACTTTCTGCCATCAAGGTTGTGTCATCTGCATATCTGAGGTTGTTGATTTTTCTTCCGGCCATCTTAATTCCGGCTTGGGATTCATCCAGCCCAGCCTTTCACATGATGAATTCTGCATATAAGTCAAATAAGCAGGGAGACAATATACAGCCTTGCCGTACTCCTTTCCCAATTTTGAACCAATCAGTTGTTCCATATCCAGTTCTAACTGTAGCTTCTTGTCCCACATAGAGATTTCTCAGGAGACAGATGAGGTGATCAGGCACTCCCATTTCTTGTATGCTATTCTTTAATGCTATTCTAGGCTGTATCAATGGAAACATAGTGTCCAGATCAAGGGAAGTAATAGTCCCACTCTATTCTGCCTTGGTCAGAGCATACCTGGAGTACTGTGTCCAGTTCTGGCCACCACAATATAAGGATATTGAAAAGCTGGAATGTGTGCAGAGGAGGGCAACCAAGATAATTAAGGGTCTAGAAATCAACTCTTATGATGAATGGTTGATGGAGTTGGATATGTTTAGCCCGGAGAACAGAAGACTGAGTGGTGATACTGAATTTCTGCTCCTTTGCTTACATTCTGTGCCTGAGGAGAACTTTCCAAACTCACCTCTAAAATATGTACAGAAGATGATTTTCCATAGTTTGGGGAAACTTTTGCAAAGAACCACTCTTTTATACAGCAAACTGTTAGTGTCAAAACACCTCCTTTAAAGGAAAACGGTTCATTGTCAAAAACACCACAGCAGTGTGAAAAACAGTGTCAAAACAGCTTTATCTTCAGAATAATTCAACATCCACCATTACAGATTGTTAATTAGTTTGGAAACTTGCAAGATGCTCTAAAATTAAATGCACAGCTGCAGAGGTAACCCGTGTGCGTTCTTTCAATGGGCCAATAGTATCTACCGTGTTTAATGCAATTATAAAGTGTTCCCAGCAGCGGCTAATTAGGGATGGGTAGATCTGTCAATTTTGGTTGCTCTTAGTTGCTGCTTTTTCCATCTTGAGTTCAGTTCTTCATATCAGGTTGCAATTTATTTATTTTTTCTAAAAAAAACACCCCACCCCACCTAATATGTATATGGCAAAGCCATTCTTCCTGATTTAAAACATTTTTTTACTAATGCAGACATTTATATGCATGCACAATTTATGCTAGTATATTCATTTTTGTACATGTAGAACTGTAGAACAGCATTGCAAAATTCAGGAAAGGGTGACTTTTGAAGGACAGCTGTGTTTTAGTCTGCATATTGTTTGGGAAAGTGTGAATTAGGTAGGTTCACCTTCAAATGTGAACAGCATCAAATTTCTCTTGTAGCCTTAGCACTAATGAAGTAAGATGATATTCCTACTGTCCTTTGGGTTTGGATAGAAATAATGAGGACAGAATCCTTGCAGGATTCAAGGCCCATTAGCATTTTGTGTTCTTCTTTATAGGCTACATACAGTCCTTGATGTGAAAAGGACTTGGGAAACCCATATGGGCAAAGCCATATTTAGAATACCTTGTAACTTTGGGCTGTCTTCCATTCATGAATCTTAAAATGGCATAACTATAAATTTAAACAACAAAGGTGAGAATATTTGAGTATGGCTGCAATTCCTGAATAACTGAAAGTTTCAAGTCTCCCTTACTGTAGACCAGTAACTATTTTGATGTACCTCGGGTTACATACGCTTCAGGTTACATACGCTTCAGGTTACAGACTTCGCTAACCCAGAAATAGTACCTCGGGTTAAGAACTTTGCTTCCGGATGAGAACAGAAATCGTGCTCCAACGGCGTGGCATCAGCAGCAGCAGGAGGCCCCTTTAGTTAAAGTGGTACTTCAGGTTAAGAACAGTTTCAGGTTAAGAACAGACATCCAGAATGAATTAGTACTTAACCCAAGGTACCACTGTACACTTGAAGGATCTTGAGTAACTGAGTTCAGTTTGAACCAATAATTTCTACTGAAGTTGATTAGTGCATAGTGTAAATTTTAACAGATAAAGTAGAGTATTATAATATATAAAGATTATAGCTCCAGTTCATGAAGACTATAATGGAACTAGAAATTAAAATGATCAAGAAGTTAGCTACTGTACTTTAAGAATATCAAAGCAACAGGGACTTTTTAACCCCAGGGGGTGGGAGGGAAATGACAAGCCAGGAAGTGTATGATTTACAAATCTCGGTCACAAAGTTATGAATGAAGTGGGGAGTGAGGGAGGAATACAATAACTGATTGAATTTGCATAAATTTGCAATAATCCAGAAACCAAAAAATACGCTCTCATTTCTTTCAAGTGATTCCTTATGTTTGTGAGAACAAGTGGAAACTCCTCTTACAATGGTGCTTGCCATGTGGTATATTTGTAATTCATTCAAAATTATGCATCATATTTTACCTTCTCCCAAACAATTGAGTCAATGAAATGATTTTTTTAAAAAAAATTATTTGATCAATAGATTTTGACATTGCAGCACATGTATGTATCAGGCCTGGGCACCTGTCTCTACCTGCTATGCTTAATCGTTTTCTTACAAGCAGGTAAAAACTTATCATTATAGGGATTCAGAGGTTGCTTTTTTTTTTGTATAAAAAATAAACAAGGTATGGGTAGAAGCCATGATGAAGCCATGATGACTGCTGCTTTATTTTCATGCATTTTCACATCTGCTTACTTAATGTGCAAATAACAAAGCAATACATTACTTGATCACATTCAAAATGGCTGAAGCGGGTTTATGGCAACCATACGTACACCTGAATGGAAGAGAGAGACAATGGAATCCAATAACTAGTAATAATTATCTCTGGGAGTCTCAGCCCACCTGACCATTTGGGGGAGGCAGAAGGCTCTTGCACTCTCTACCTGGTGCTCCTGGGGTCCTTGCATCATTTGCCCATATAAAGCTTTGGCTTCCTCCCCCGTGGCAGTAAATAAGAAGAGATCAAACGAAAGAAACATATTATCAGTTAGATTCTTTAATAATCACAGTGACAGACAAAAGAAGCCGTCTACCTAGAATGTTGGTGCTCCCAAGTAAGGCTCACACCCCCTCCGTCCCTATTAATCAACGTCACTCCTGCGTCTTGTAATCTGAGTTTGTACCTTCTGTGTTTTCTGTTCTGAGACTTTCTGAGCTCTTCTCGACCTTGGGGAAGGTGCTGGAGGAATGTTGTCCAAAGACTGTGAAACTGTTAACCCTCTCTTTTCCAATGTTTCTTCTCCTAGCTGTTTCCCATCCAGTATTTCCCAGCTTCTGCCTTCTGAACTATGGCCCTCTGCAAGCCGCTGTTCCAAATCTATACTGTCCGCCTGCTCCTGGGAAGAATCAGGATCAGAATCAGGATGAGTGGGTGGCTCCCATTATTCTTCCTCAGTGCAGCCCTCCTGTGCACGGTGCCTGATATCCCATATGGAAGGGGGGGGGAACGCTTCATTTGTAATAAGGGCAAAACCTGCATCTTATCTCATCTCTATAAAAAGAAATTTCCCAGCTCCAATGTATTGCAACGAATGGCATACACATAGCCTACAATCCCATTAAGGTCTCCCCCCACCCATTGTGCAACATAGAAACACAAATAGACACATACAGAATTGGCTATACTGGATGGAGGGGACATTGCTCTGCATTAACCAAGAACTTCATTAGAGACAAAGGTGCAGGGAATCATTCCTTGGTTGCATTAGATACACACAGGAAAGCAGGGGAAGATCTCAAGGGTATGTTTCTTAAATTTATTGTAAATCAAACCATTCCCATCCTGAATTTACAACTAAGATTCAGGGCCAATTAAACTCAAAAGTTCACAGGTGTTTAGACGACTGATTATAACATAAAAGAATGCACCTGTTTACTACTGTTCAAGACTCTCCTTCCCTGCCAGTCTGCTTAAATTCAGCACATTAAAAACTTTCACCGAACCAACCAGCTTGCAGGTTGAGACTGATAATTTTGAAGCACAATTTAATTGAGATATTTTTTTTTTTAAAAAAAGGTAAAGAGCAGACCATAAAGTGATATGCATGCACACCAACAGAGGTTGCTATCCTGATTGCACGGAGAATCACGAGAAAGGTGCTTGCTCAGCTTTGTATGTTGAGGG